TTATCTTCTCAATTACAGTAGGATCACATGCCCATTTTCAAACTAACCACTGGCCTTAGAATAAGAATCATAGTAAGAATATAGCTTCCTGGCGAGTGCAAGATCCTGAGTTTGATTCCTGGTACAGAAAGAAAGAAAGAAAGAAGGAAGGAAGGAAGGGAGGAAGGAAAGAAAGAAAGAAAGAAAGAAAGACCGAAAGAAAGAAAGACAGGAAGGAAGGAAGAAAGAAAGAAAAGAAGAAAGAAAAAAAGAAAGCAAGCAAGCAGACATGCTATCGGACAAGCCGTCAACAGCTTGTCCGATAGCAACCAGAGGCAAAGTCAGCTTTCTTGCCTTCTACTAGAGAAGCACTTAATTAATCCCACTGAGAAAAGTACACCAGGTTTGATTGGCTATGGAGCACTGTACTTGGGCGCTGAGGGTACCCACCTTCTTTTTTCCAGTACTGGGAATCAAATCCAAAGCCTTCACCCTGATCTACATTTCTAGCTCTTTCTTTTTGGTACTGAGAATCAAACTCAGGACCTCACTCTTTTTTTTTCTTTTTCGTTTTTTATCGGTACCAGGGATTGAACTCACGACCGCCTGCTTGCAAGGCAGGTGCTTATGCCGCTGAGCTAAATCTGCAGCCCCCTGGGATCTCACTCTTACCAGGCAGGTGCTGCATTGCTGAGCTAAGTCCCTGGCCCATCCCAGATCTTTTTTTTTTTTTTTTAAATTTTGAGACAGGACCTCACTAAACCACTAGATTGCCCAGACTGGACTTGATCCTGATCCTCCTGCCTCAGCCTCCCAGTGTGCTCCCATTGCAAGTGTGCACCACCAAGCTTGGCTTGCTTTTCCCCTTATCCCCCTTTTACATGCATTCAGACTGTTTTCATTTGCATTTGGGAATCACGTGGTCTAGGGATACGCACTGCATCGCCCAGCCCATCGGCAGAGGCCATCCACCATCCATCCATCCACACTTCCACCGTCCACTCATCATGTTAGGCACTGTGGACACAAAGATCAAAACCGCTAAGACTCTTGTCTGCCAAGAGGGGCTGCATCAAGGAGTCCTGCCCTCCAAGGAGAAGGTCTACCTGATGGGCAGCCGGAGTCCAGATGGTTTCAGAAGAGTCGTGAGCTGGATGCCCAAGTGGAGGCAAAGTCGCTGAGCAGAGAGGGCACAGAGTGCACAAGGGCCCAAGGCCAGGGACCCAGAGTGTGTTCGAGAATAAAGGAAGACACAGACCAGAGCATCCAGATGAAGCCAGCGGAGGCCGGGCCAGGCTGGGTGTGGGTCCAGGCTGAGCCACACACCAGCCTCAGAGGTTTAAAGCAAAGGAACAACAAAAATAAGAAATACACACAAGAGCAAAACTTTGAAAAAGAGAGAGAAGTTCAGGTTTTCTTTGATGGAAAAATAAAGGGGAGGCCGGGCAACAAGGCCTGTTGTTGGGAACTTTCAGAGGAGCTGAACTGCCGAATTCACTGACTGACTTTATAAAGTTTTCTTCTCCCTCTTGCTCTCCTTCTCCCTCTTCCTCCTCCTCCTCTTCCTCCTCCTGCTCCTCATCTTCCTCCTCCTCCTTCTCCTCTTCTTCTTTTTCCTTTTTGTAGTGGGGTGACTGCAGTGGAATGACATGGAAGTGGTCCAGGGGACCTAGTTTTCTGGTTTTGTAAGATTTCATAAAACAGCGGTCCTTGAGTGTCACCGACCCAGACAGCAGGTCTCACAGGTGGGGAACCCTTGGCTGGGGCCCCCAGCTCAAGGTCTCTCTGGTAATGACAGGACCGGAGACCCCATCCATCTGGAGTGCTGGCCCCTGCCTGGCCTGCTGCTTCTGTCACAGGAAACTTCACTGTTCTGGAACAGTATCCAGTGGTTTTGGATTCCAGCCAGCGAGCTGATGGCTATGCTGAGTTCCCAAAGACTTAAGTGGAGGAAGGCTTTTTCCCTTTGGTCTGGAGTTTCTACTAATGTAGAGGAGCCAGGTTTAATTACAGCCCAGAGCTGCCGTAAGGCTGAGGTTCCTGCAAAGAGCTGCGGATGAAGTTGTTCTTTCTAATTGATGCTCTGTTTAGCATTTGGTCTCACAGGGCTTGTTCAATGATTAAAGCAGTGGACGTGCATTGGGAAATACTCAGAAGAGTGGCGTACAAAGAAACCTCCCCTTCCAACCCCTAAACCCAGTTCACCAGGACAGCCAGGCCTCTCGGTTCCATGAAACCACCTCTACCTTAATCAGGCTGAGCTGGGTGTGGGAAGGGAACAGCCAATGCACGGCTTCCTGGCTTCTACTGAAACAAAAGAATACCGTCGGGACATGAAAATCGCCAGAAACAAAGTCCTTAGGGTCCTGTCTCTCCCTGTTTTTCCATTAGTTCTGTCTTCCCATTGCAGTAGTTTTCAGAATATTTAGCTTCGGTTGCAGGCATCATTTTCAAGTCATTCAGGTGGCATCGGAAGTTCTACAAATTTGTTCAAACTTTTATTAAAAAAAAAACACAGACTACCTGTAGTCCTAGCTACTCAGGAGGCTGAGGCAGGAGGATCTTGAGTTCAAGCCTAGCCTGAACAATTTAGCAAATCTCTGTCTCAAAATAAAAAGAATTAAAAGAAATGAGGAGGTAGTGGTAAAGGACATAAGACACATCCCAGCCCCAGGGGTTAAAAGAAAAAAATCCATGTTACACATTCCATATTGTAACACACTTAAGCATCGTGTGAACTCCCTTTTGGCTTGAGTACACCCAGAAGTTCTGAAACTGACGGAAAACCTGAATTAACCATTGCTCTATGTTCCACAGCAAACCCTCTAGAGTTCACCTGCTGTTTATGCCTCGTTCGCTAGCCTGGGTCAGGCTGGGGATAGTTGTTAAGTTTGACCCCAGCACTTTCCCCAGCTCAGCCCATCAAGATCCCTTAGGCGCCCCCCCCATCCCCCCCACTCCACCCCCCTGCTTGGGGAGGCAGATCTGAGACCTGCTGCCCTCCCAGGCCTGGCTGCCCCGTAAGGGACCCTCTGCAGAGCTCTTCCTCTGCTGTATGGGGCACAGTGAGCCTGGTGTGGGGACAGGCATGGCTTTGCTCTGCACCCTGAGCCTAAAGACGGAAAATGCAGGGTCCCTTACAGAACTCAGCCTCCCCGCACGCACGTGAGGTGTCAGTAGAAGCAGACACGCTGTGATTCCTAGTGTGCGGCAGAACACACAGCACCCTGTGATCGCGAGAGAAACCAGGGAAGCAGCCCTGTGCTGCTGAAGGGCTGGGTGTCTCACACATTTCTGACTTTAGCTATCTTCAATCTGTGAGTGAGATGTCAATTTACAGGCAGGCAAGGTGGTGCATGGCTGTAACCCCAGAACTCCGGGAGGCTGAGGAGGATCACGAATTCAAGTGCAGCCTGGACAATTTAGTGGCTTTGAGACCTGGTCTCAAAAAACAAAAGAAGGGCTGGGGATGTAGCTCAGTGCATGGTGATGAGAAAGCTCTGGGCTTACTTTCCAGAACATCAAAAACGAAGAAAAAGAGAGGAGGAGGAGGAAGAAATTCTCTTCAAAACTTTGGAATCAGCTTAGTGTGGTGGTGCACTCCTGTTATCCCAGCACTGGGGAGGCTGAGGTAGGGAGATCCTTGCAAATTGGAGACCAGGCCAGGCTACAAAGTGAGCCGAAGGCCCTGGCTAAAGCACACAGCGAGGCCCGTCTCAAGAAGACACACACACACACACACACACACACACACACACACACACACACAAAACCCACAAAACTTTGGAATTAAAAAAATAACACTGAGATGTAAGCTCTATAGAGTGAGGATTTTTCTTGGCTCTGGGCTCTGTTCTATGACCAGTGCATATTGTAGGTGCTCAGTAATAAATGCATGATGAGCTCGGCACGGTGGTGCATGCCTGCAATTCCAGCTCCTTGGAAGCCTGAGCTGGAGGATCCTAAGTTCAAGGCCATCATGAGCAATTTAGTGAGACTCTGCCTCAGAATAAGATATAGAAAGAGTCAAGTAGCTCAGTGGTAGTACAGTTGCCTAGCATGTGCAAAGGACCTGGGCTCAACTCCCAGCACCTCATAAGTAAATAAATAGTGAATATTTTAGTATTTTATATTAATAAAATTTACTTAGAAATTTAGGACACTGGAGATGATCCTGACAGGCAGTGGACCAACTGGAAGCTAGAAAGACAGATATAGATCTGACACCCACCTTGAAACAAAAGAAATAAATCTAATTTTTATTCTCCATTTATAACAGATTATTGATTTAAAACATAGCCAAAGACGGCAATCGATTTACTGTACAATATATTTATCAAGTATTATGTCAGTCTACCTACTACAGTTTTCTTGTTCCTGCTAAGAAACTTTGATCTCAATACTGTGGGAGTCTGAGGCAAAAAAATTGATTGCAAGTTTCAAGCCCCAGCATGGGCAACTTAGCAACTCGGTGAGACCCTGCCTCGAAATAAAAATACATGAAAGTGTTAGGGAATGTTGCTCAGTGCAAAGGTTCTCGGTTCAATCCTCAGTACAAAAAAAGATGGCCATTATTTTCTAATATTTTCATTTTGTGTAGCTGATGGGCTTCAAGGACGTCAAGGCATCAGGTTTTGTCTCTCTGTCTGCTTCATTCCCGCAAATTTCCCAGTGAGGCTGGAACCCCGCTGGCCGCACTGGCAGGACGCCTGTGTTGCTCTAGAGGGAGGAAGTCACTTTCCAGCCCAGTTAGAGGAGCCCAGAGGGAGACACTGACAGACTGACTGGAGCTCACACTCAGGCGCCTGCACTGGTTTGGAGAAAGGAAGGGCTGGACACTTTTATCACAATTTAATAGGACCGAAATAGCCTGATGGACCAGTGACTACTCTTCTGCCTGTTGGAAACTGCAGAAAAATGGCTTTAGGTCACAGTTGACAAGGAACTGGACTGGCTTCGTGCCCAGTGTGTCCTACACTGAAGACCAGTGTCCCAACAAATAAATGCAGGCCACAGACCACTGTATGATATTTGGCTTTACTTTATATAAAAATACACAACTTAAATACATATGACACTCTGTATACAAGACATAAACAACTCGTAGATTCAACATTTGCAGTTACTTCAACAGCAGGCCAATATGTAAATTACCTTGTAAGAGCAAAAAGCTTATTGATAGACTCTGCAATCACACGTAAAAGGGGAGGGATGCCCGGGGAGCGATCGGTGAGGGAAGCTCTTCCAAACCGCTCCACTTTCCAATAAAAGGCATCGCGCCGAGGGCCTCTATTGCACAGCTTAATATTGCACCGATCCTTAGACACAATCCAACTGACCCACATCACAAGGGAAAGCTTTTGTCTTCTCCAGCGATGGTCCATGGAAAACTCAATGTCCAAACAGCATTAACTGTGTCTCAAAATTGTGCTCAATACCAAATCTGAGAAGTATGAACTGCTTCTTGACTTTGCGAACTTGCAAAGCTCTATTTTGCAGCTAAATTCATGTTCCAAAGTTTTACAAAAGCCTCAAAATGAAATAAAACAAAAGTTTTACAAAAGCATTGGCATACTTAGAGCGAGCTTGACAGGGTGCAGTGGCGAAGGAAGTGGCATTCTCAGGTCTACAGAGCTTCCATGCCACAGGGCGCTGCCACTGAGAGGGGCAGTTTGCAGCCAGCTCCCGGAGCCCACTTTCTGACGTGAGACAGGGACCCCTTCCTCCCGCTGTGGCTCTGTCTTTGCTCTGTGCGGGGTGCACGAGGACGAGGACCGGCCACTTCCCTGACTCTGCACCTGCAGGCCCTGCTCTGGTCATCTTTCAGACATTCAGCTGCCTTGCCTATGGCTCGTTTAACTAATAGCGAGTTAGGAACTAGTGCACAGGTATAAAGAAAGCTTTGACACTTGGGAATTCAGTAGATGGGAACATACTGGACTAAGTTTCCTGAGATAAATGCAAGCTTTAAAGAATGGTGTGCAAGCCAGAGTCTAGCAGTTTATCTTAGGTAGCAACACGAAGCCCCCCAAGTCTGGACTTTTAAGTTAACAGGCTCATCAGCCAAAGGACACATCTACATGACAAAATAAAATGACAGTACTAAAGCAAAAGAAACACTGACAGTTGACATCAAGAGGAGGCACAGAGACAAACAGAGAAACAGGACGAGGGAGTATTTTAAAGTGCTTAGGTAGGTTGGAAGATTAAGCTGAAATGCCTCCAGGGATTTTTAATGGGTTTAAAAAGTGTTACTTCTTGGTGACTCAGATATAGAAGACACAGCTTTTTAGTAATAATAGCTGTTCAAACTTTTAATTCTTTTTTGAAAAACAAGGTTCTTTATGCATACTTTTCAGCTATTGAAATTATTATGCTGCTTGTTGTGATTCTCACTGATGTAGTTTTGAAATCTTAACAGGCTGGAGAACTTTTAATGAGATTGAACTACAAAAAGCATACATCTGCACCAAGAATTTAAATGAATGCATAGAGATCTGTCAAGTTTTGCACGCAGTTAATACCAAAAGACCTTTTCATTGAAAATCATGCTTTGTTATTTCTTACTGGTCTGCTGACGTACTGAAAATCACAAAAATTCTAGGACCTCAGGCTTAACACTCTCATGTTTTGCAAACATGAATCAGCATATGGCATCCTGCACATTAATAATGAAGGTCTTGGAAACTGAATCAAAAGGCCCTAAGAATCAAGCAACGGCTCAAGTTTGACAAGTCACTTCTAAGGGTATGAATGGAAGCCCTAGAAAATTCCCTCTATATGGCTGTTCATCTGCACAACGTGGCCAAATGAGGTGATGGACTGAGAGTTTAAGAATCACGATGAATACTGGCCCAGTGGTCACACTGGCCACCTGCTCAGTGGGCTGTCCCGTCATTGTGGGCAGACGCTGCTGCATACAACCCTTCCTTCCATGACTTCTATATTCTACTTTTAGAGCCAACAAGTGTCAAAGACCTCAGGCAAGAGGAAGGGCTTAAGCAAAACTAGGTCCCAGAAGGACTCTGGGCCACGTTCTGCCGTCCTTGACACTAGTTTAAAGGCCGGGGAAATCCTGTAAGAAAACAATATACCAGGTCTCAAATCATTAGAAAAATAAGCATTTGGGATTATCACCCAGATGAAAACTCATATTACAAAGCAATGCTCTAGGGCTGGATGTGTAGCTCAGAGGTTAAAGCACAGGGCCATGGGTTCAACCCCCAGCACCACAAGAACATAAAAATAAAAGATAAAAACAATGCTCTGGTTTCTGACGCAGCCTGAGTGTAGCCAAACCAAGTGGAGCTGCTTTGGGAAGAGGCCGCCACACTGCAGCGGCTTGGATTATGCTACTTGGCACTCGATATAGCACAGCTGTGTAAAATTCACAGAGAAGCAACATCTTACATCCTTCAAAGCTCCAGTTAGTGCAAGTGGTTGCCACTAACATGGTGAGTAACACACAGGGACGGTGATGTCATGAGTCATGTAGGAGACAGCGCTGTGGACACGGGAAGAAGCGTCAGCCCTAATACTTGATCCGCCTCCACCCCACGTCCTGAGGAGGGGACTGTGGCCCGAGAACATATTCCTCTGCGTGAGATTAGATTTCATAACCTGTAGTTAAAAAAATACGACTGCTGAGAAACTTGGAGCCCAAGCAGAAATGACAGATTCGGCCCCACTCAGGCCTTGGACAGTCCCTAGTCTCTCGGGTCAGCCAGGCCGTGTCAAAGCCTGGAGGGAGGACAGGGACTGCGGCTGGAAGCCGGTGATTCAAGGCGAGCGGGACCTGGTGGCAGATGTGGACGGAGTAGCTAAGGAGAAGAGGGTAGGGGGTAAGGGGTCAAGGGAGAAACTGCGTCAGAGGAGAGGCCAGGTTTGCCAAGGAGGACCTGGCCCTCCCTCCTGCCTCCGCAAACGCTGAGCAGCAGGAAAAGGGCTGGACCTCAGACAGGACTCTGCTGGCGCCCCAAAACACTCTGCGAGGCCGCCTTGGCCCGGGCCTGTGCGGAGTGTCACGGGCAGGGCCCCGAGCCGCTGCCCTGGGCTCTGATCCTCGCTCCCAGGTGTGAGCCGCCTCCGCTGGGCTCCTCTGCAGGGCAAAGGAAGCCTCGCTGGGCACAGGAGGGCAGGCAGAGCAGCGGGCTCTGCAACTCTCTCTCTCAGGGCTCGGCTCTCCCCCTGGTGGAGGGAAGAGGGGATGTCACACAGGGACTGTCCTTCAGGCCCTAACCTCGGAGGGCCCCCCCGAGGTTCAGGGACACTGACCTTGTGCAAGGGGACACACAAAGAACTCTCAGTTCAGGGAGCGCCTGGAAAGGTCACGTCAAACCCTCAGGGCGTGGGTGTTCTCTGCTACTTTTTGGGTTTTTCTCTCCTATTTTTCTTTTTTTCTCTGGTGATGAATTTAAAAAAAAAGAGAAGGAAGAGAAAAAATGGGTCTGGCTGTGTCTTTCTTCCCTCCAGGGACCGTGTGGCCCTTCCCAGAAGAAGCGCCAGGGACAGCACCACTACCGGGCTCACGGATGAAGGGTGACACCTCGAATGGCATGGCGATGGGAAATGGGGTGCGGCACACGGGGACACGCGGTGTCTTCACCTCCTACAGACGCGGGGCGTCTCGCTGTTAACACCTGTGAGCGCCCACGGGCCCCAGGCCACTGGTGTACACACGGCAGCGCATGAGTGAACAGAGTGGTGACACTGTGTGAACAAAGTCCCCGACGGTCACCTCACCTCCGGGGAAGGTGGTGTGCACCCGAGTCCCGGCTCACTGTCCCTGCTCCCCTACTTGATGCTTTTCAGCAGGGCCGTCCGGGCGTTCACAACCGCTTTGAAGGCGTCTTCGCTACCCGGTGCCACGCACTTGTCGGGGTGCAGGAGCACAGCGAGCTTCCGATAGGCTTTGTTGACTTCCTCCCTAGGAGAGAGGCAGTTCCGTGTCACTCACCAGGCAGCGTCTGCTGCACAGAATCAGCTCGTGCAGCAAGCTTGTCCCCAAGGGTCACTAGCTTTTCCCAAAGGCAGGATGACCAAATAAATAACGGGTAATACAAAAACGAAACATACAATGCAGGAAGAGGCAGCACCGGGCTCCTAGTGGGCACTGAAAAGCCTTTGCTGATAGAAGCAATGAAGGCCTGGGGACCAGGCAGCCTCCCCAGGAGCCTGCTGGGAAAGGGGGGCGGGAGTAGCACAGGCTGGGGACAGGAGTGGACTCGGTGGCTGGGGAGGGAGGCCTGGAAGGCAAGCAACGGAAAGCCTGGTTTGATCGACACCAGCAATAGTAAGCGTCTGGGACAGACTGGCCCTGGGAAAGCTATTCCTCAAAGCTGGGAGGCAGCGGAAGTCGCTAGGCTGACCCAGGCACGAGCACAAGCACTTAGATGAAGGGGTCTGTGCAGCCGACCAGCAAAGATTAACAGACCCTGCTGCAGAAGGGAAAGATGGCTGGAAGGATGCCAGGGTCCTGCAGATGAGCAGGACCGGCCTGGAAGCCCTGGGCACTGCCCACCTGTGCTGCCCTTTCTCACCCGCTGATGCCAGGCTGGCTACGAGAGGTGCTAAGCACCGGGCCACTGCCCTGCCAAATAAATAACGGGTAATTTATTGATGGTTGGTGTGGGACGGCTGTGTAAAATCCACACTAAGGTCACACTAAGCTCTCCTCCACCAAGCGATGCTTTAGGGTTCGCCTTCCTCTGGTAATCAGGGTTCTGCTACCTCGTAGGCACAGGCCCTCAGACTTGCTTGCTTACTTCCTTCTTTCAGCAGGGTCTCACTATGTAGCCCAGGCTGGCCTTGAACTCACAGGGATCTTCCGGCCTCAGCCTCCTGAGTGCTGGCGTTACAGGTGTGCACCACCATGCTCAGCTTTTCTGTGGTGTCATTTTTCAGATTTTTCTATATCCTATATTTTCTTGAAACCACAGACAGAGACTTGAATAATTCAGGATCGATATTTTGTAATGAGTACTTGTCAGAATATTGGCACACGTGTGGAAGCACACGTATCTGCTGCAGCCTCCCCGGTGCTTTGATTACAGGCAGGCACCAGCACACCTGGCTTCCTTTATTTTTACCAGGAGGATTTCTAAACTGGTTCTCCAAATTAGGAAGATGAATTTGACAGCTCAGAGGTGATAGAAAAGTTACAGAGAGACTGACGGCTCAGGGTCATGTTAATAGTTCCCCCTGTCTAGGGCACATGCGCCAACTCTAAAGAACCCTTTCAAAATGTCTTGTTTTAGCTTCCGGGAGAACATGGCGGACAGATAACAGCAACTACCGGCGGCTCTCTGAAAGACTCGGCTCAGAAGCCAGGAATGGTGCGGACTAAGGAGACATAAGCAGGTGGAGATATGCTCTGCTGACTCAGGAACGAACTGGGCTGAGAGAAGCCAACTTGGAATGCAGTCCTGGTGCTAAAACAGGAACAGAAAAGACTTGGTGTGGAGGCTGGAACCGCGCCATTGTAAGCCGCGATTTGGGTTTCCCGCCGCGCAGCTGCTGGCTGCCTCTACAGCGGCTCGGCAAGGAGAGAGACGCGCGGAAGCTCTGAGAACGGCAATCTGCGAACGGCAGGGAGGCGTGCACTGACTTGTGGTGAGGTGAGTGAGAGAAACTGACACTCTACCACAGTTTGACTCCAGCAGAGGACTTTCTGGGCCCGAGCAGTCCTGCGGGAGCAGGGCGCGGTGGCGACTCCAGCCACACATCCCCCTCTCGGGCGGGATTGGTGAAAAGTGCCTGGCCTGCGTGACGCTGCCGGCGGACCTGGTAGACTGTCCCAACCCAGATCCCAGAGCCTGACGGTGGCCGGGAGGGGAGACGCGTAGGCTGCCTGGTCCGTAACTCCCTGGTGCGCAGCGGTGAGCGGGAACACCTAACTGGCGCAATTCGATCAGGCTGTGGCTGACTGGGAGAGAAGCTGGGCCTCTTATATAAGCTTGCATATATAAGGAACAGAGAAGAAGAGGCAGCATGGGAAGAGGCAGCAACAAGAAAGTCTCCTCGGCCCCCAATTCTGAGAAACAGGCAATAGCAGACACCGCACCAATACACATAAGGCACCATATAGAGAGCCTCATAGACCAATTCAGGAATGAAGTTATCAACGACCTGAAGCTAGAAGTATGCAGAATAGTTAGAGAAATGCTAAGCACCACCCAAGAAAAAACAGGTGATGGAATGGAAGAACAGAAAAAAAGGGGAGAATTGTTTGATGGAGAAAACAGAGAAAGCATAGAATACGTGAAGCAGGTTCAAAGGGACTACCAAGATACTAAGAAGTCTATCGAAGACTGGCATAACAGCTTGAAAGAAACTAAGGACAGACTATCTGAACTGGAGGGCAGACTTGTAATATGGGAGAATGAAATGAAAAACTTCTTAAAAATAACAAAGAAACAAACAGCAATAATACAAAGACAAGAAGATGATAAGAGGATCCATAACTTAAGGATTAAGAACATAAAAGAAGAAGTAGGGATGCAAACAAGTGAACTACAAAAGCTACTCACAGAAATAATCCAGGAGAATTTTCCTAATTTAGCAAAAGGTAAAGATACTCAGATGTATGAGGCATACAGGACCCCAGCTACCTACAACCCAAACAGAGCAACACCCAGGCATATAATAATAAAAATTCCAGAAATTCAATACAAGAACAGAATATTAAAAGCTGTAAGAGACAAGAAACAGACCACTTACAAGGGAACACCCATCAGAATTACAGCAGATTTCTCTGCACAAACCATCAAATCACGAAGAGCGTGGGGGGAAATAATTCAAGCATTGAAAGATAATAATCTCCAGCCAAGATTGAGATATCCTGCACAACTGTCCCTGGAAATTGATGGAAAAACAAGGTGCTTCCAGGATAAAGAGGAACTGGGGGAATTTGCAACCACCAATTCAACTCTACAGAAAGTATTGCAGGATATTCTAAAAAAAGAAAAATACAAAGAACCCAGAAATAGTGGCGGGGAGGCCACAACAAATGGAGCAGAGAACAAAATGAAGAAGACAAACTGACAGCTACTGACAGAAAAAGAGCTTAACAGAAATGAGGCAGAGAAGATTGGATGATAGGAACAGCTATTTTGGAGAAAATGACATCTTAATAGGTAATACTGATTTAGTATCATCTTGTTTTGAAGTCTCATCTAGCTTTTGTCCTTCTGTCTCCAATGGTCTAAATAGGCTGTATCTTATTGGATTTTATTATGTACGATAGTATAAGCAAAAACCTTTTAAAGACAAGGAGATTATACAGAAACCATTGTTCATTTTCTGTTAGTCGATTCTAAATACTCTGTAATGCTGTCATTCTCTTGAATGGTTTTACATTGTTTTGATATACTTAATGCTACAGTATACGAAGTTGTACTCAAGGATTTCAAAGAAAGAAACAATATGGTAACTACTTTTAGGTTAGGATTATCTGGTGGTGAAACACTATTCTGCTTAAATGGTTATGTTTTGATCTGCGCTGTTTCGTTGTTATGCCCTCTTTTATCTCAATCTCCACTCCATTATTTACTTTTTTATCTTTATCCTTTTAATTAAAGGAAAAAAATAGCAGGATATATTATAGTAACCCCTTTTGACTTTTCATTACCTTGATTTAAAGCCCTGTATTACTCTCACCATCTGGTTTTTAACTGATGTTCCCCTATTCTGTTTTGCTGGACAGTATCAGGTTCGAAAGTTTAGGCATCAGCTGTGAAGATAATGAGATTCATTATGACGCCCATTCTTGTTGACTTTTAGCTACTTTTGAAGACCTACAATGTCTCCAATGTTTTGGTTTTGTCAGTTTTATTCTTTACTGTTTTGTTCAATTGTATTATAACTAATGATATAGGCAATTCTATTAGAGATAGCAGGAGACATTATGGTAACCATTGTTGATCACCTGTATTATGTTTTTACATTATCTATTATGTCCACCCTTTTGACTTGACCGATTCTGTTCTGTTATGTCACATTTGGTTTTACTCTCTTCCAAAAAAGTAATAAGAACCGTGGGAGCAATGAAACCCAAAATGTGTAATAGTCATGGTACAAAAGAGAGGAAAAGAAAGTACTCTAAACTATATAACTGCATGTATATTTAAGTGTATAAGATAGAAAATGATATCACAGAGTTTTATTGGATCAATGAACAGAACTGTTTGCAGTATCATTGATGGAATGTCCACTTTACAAGCTTTAATTTTGTGACTTGAACAATTATTTCTAAGATGACAATATGTAATCCATTAACTAGTGATTTCCTACTGTTCATTTTTTTTCTGTAAATCTGTATAACTTGTACCCTTTCCCTGCTTTTTTTTTCTTTTCTCCTTAAATAAAATTAAAAAAAAAAAACAAAATGTCTTGTTTTAGTGTCAGATGTAGCTTTCCGACACACATAATTCTGATACCAATGAACAAGAATGATGTTCTCATCTGAAAACACTGGAAGCCAGGTATGGTGGTCCATGCCTGTAATCCCAGGCTGAGGCAGGAGGACTGCCACAACTTCCAGGCCTGCCTGGGGTACAGGGTGAGACCTTGTCACAAAAAACAAACAAACAAAAAAATTGAAAGGGCCAAAATTCTTATTCCTTCAAGAGCTCCGGCTTCCCCCGAGGGAGGAATCCATGCAATTTACTGTGTGCCTGGCTTTCTTGCTGAGATGACCTTTCAGGATTTCTAGAGACAGGAGAACCTCCAGAGCGGAATGTTTGGACAAACAAAATGACTTGAGTGTACGACAAATAAATAGATTTTGCTGAAGAGGAAGATTGATTTAAAGTCTAAGGACAGTAGACACAGTTGGTACTGATCGAATACCAAAATTCTCTGTAATTTAAGAAAAAAGTCTTTATGTGTTTATGCTATTTGAAGGCACGGAAATTAAGGCGGTTCTGGACATTCTGGAAGATTCCAATTAACCAAAGTGAAATACCAAAGAACCAAAAGTGTTTTTCCCTTAATAAATACTATTTTAAGTTCGTGAATAATTAGACAAAGAGATAGTTTCTTAATATTAGAGCCAATATCCCTTGGAGATGACACAGAAGAATTCAGATTGAAACTACGCAGCCCTACTATAACAAAAGACACCGGTAAACTCAGTGCTCTGTACACGAGGTCATCGGAATCCTTTGCAGGTCCAAAATGTCCACAATACACACAATGAATTCACAGTGACTGATAACAGCCGGCCCTTCTCCTTCTGGACTTGCAGATATGCTATGAGCCAAAATGGAGAGGATATGGGTAACCCTTTTGGTATGCACAAGGCAATTCTGAGGTGCAGTGTTGCTTTTCTGGAACTCGAGGTAACAAGTAAGCAAGGAAGGCCTGGGCTGGAGGCGCGTTATGCTGCAGACAGAGAGCCCTGCAGTGATGCTCTGTGCAGCCATGGCGGTGTTACATCGTCAGGTTTCAGGGTCACACTGGGAAGTTGTTTATCTTTGCATAAGCAATAAACAATAGGCGCTCTCTTTCTTTTAATCCTGAGTGAGTCTTCTGGCTGAAACTAAGTACGTAGAGGAGGACCTGGCAGGCTTTTGAGACGGACAGGCAGGTGCACAGACAGTGGTGTGGAGGGATAAGGAACCAACCCTGCCCCCCAGCCCTGCAGGCCCTGAGGGTGCTTGTTTTCACTGCACCCCAGTTTTCCTACCCATAAAATGAAATTTTTGGACAGGTTGGTTGCTAACACGCACTTCTCTAAAATTCTATAATTTGAGAATTTTCTTAATTTTTTTTAAAGGTTACATTAGCACCAAGGAATTTGCTCCCTTAGTGGGCAGCGGTGCTTTCTGTTCTGTATCTGTGCTGTTCAGTGAAGCAGTCAGTAGGAATCTGTGTCACACACCCGCCGTTATGTGTCTGGCCAGTTAAATACGGTGAGATTGCACCTGTAGTTTTGCTGCTGTGTCCTGCTCTCTGCCGGCACCTGGGTCTAAGCATGCTGGCGGCTGCTTACCTGGAGGCCCCGGGTTTGACACCCAGCATGTCCCAGCTGTCTTTGCTATTCCGAATTCTGCGGATGGTGTCTGCTTGTTCTTTGGTGAAGCCAGCGCTGCTGTTTGGGGTAGGACGTTTCCCGCCATTTTCACATAAATCGACTATGGAGACGTAGAAGGCCTGCAGGAGGAAAACGCAGCCCGTGGCAGGACAGAGTGCGTGCAGAGAGGAATTCCCTCTGAGCCCCAACTTGACAGCCGCTAACATACTCCAGTAACTCAAAAGCCACTCATTCATCACATACATACTTTGGAATGTTGTTGTAGCCTTTATACTATGTTTCAGCATATTCATATCGTTTAACACAAAAATATTAGGGTGACATTAAAGTGGCTCATAAGCCTCATCACACTTGAGTTAAAAAGCAATAAATGAACACTGTTGGATATTCGGATGGTAAAGGGTAAAGTGGAAACCATGTCTCCTTATCCTCCAAATGCTTTTTCTCCTTAAGATAACCTCTGTTCACATTGTTTTGAGCATCCTTCCAGGAAAATGGGCCACCAATATACCATTTCACACACACATCGGTACTCTGCGAACACTCACGTAAGCGATCAGATCAAGCACCCTGCTAGGCAGCTTGCAATAATATATCTCGGAACCTTTCTGTAGCTACATTTAGAGAACTTTGTTTAATGACTTCAGGAGTTTCCCGTGTGGCTGTTCCATCATGTACTTAACCACCTGGTCCCAGTTTCTTAACCACTAATATATTTGTAAGTGTCTGCATTACTTCATCGCTGCGGAGGTAATGTTTTAGGGTGAATTCCTAAAAAGCAGCATCAGAATGTGTGCGCATTTAAGGCTTTTATTCTGACTATTCTGACTGTTGTTATCGAGCAGGCTGCGCCAGCTTACGTTCCCATCCTCATGTGCGAGAGCACCCATTTCTCCACACCCTTATTTATTTTTGTTCTGTTCTGTTTTTTGTTTTGTTGAGACAGGGTCTCACTATGTACTCTAGGCTGCCTTGAACTCACTGTGTAGCCCAGGCTGGCCTCTTCCTTGCAGTGATCCTCCTGCCTCAGCCTCCTGAGTGCTGGGATTACAGGTGTGCACCACCACATCCAGCCTTCCTCCACCCCCTTATTAACACTGAGCATTGTGTTAATTTTTGCTAATCTGAGGTGTATCTCACAAGTTTAGATTATATTTCTTTAACTCTATAGTGAAAGTGAATATTTTTTCATATAATTAAGGCCTTTTTTTGGCAAGCTTCATAGTCTTTGCATATTTTCATGTTTTTTTTTTTTTTTTTTTTTTGTCTTTTTGAGATAGTCTCACTGTGCAGTTCAGGCTGGCCTTGAGCTCACTTTGTAGCCTATGCTGATCTTGAACTGCAAGGATCCTCCTGCCCCGAGTGCTGGGATTACAGGTTGTGAGCCACAACGCCCAGTTCCTATTATTTTAAAAATGTATTTTAATTTTTTTTTTTGGAGACAGGATCTCACTATGTGGTCCAGGTTGGCCTTGAACTCAATTCTCCTGCCTCAGCCTCCTAAGTGCTGGGATTGCACCACCATACCTGGCAAACTCCTTTCTTATTTCCAATAATAGCTAATAGACTTGGTAACTTCAAAAAAAACCCTTAACACTTGAAAAAAAATAGCATCAGAGAAAAGTCAGTGGACACAGACAAAGGAAGTGTCATCTTGGTTTAACACTCTCTGTTAAGCCAACTAACTCCATCTGCTAACTCTACCTGTTGGGTACTCTATCTGTTAACAATGCAAATCAGACAAAACCAAGTTCTTTATGACAGAAAGCATCTATTAAATAGGAAATAAAGAAAACACTTACTAAATGGAACCAGCAGGAAAGCACTTCTAAGTGCCTGCTTACAGAACAGTGTTATTCTACTCTTGATAGCTTTTTTCCATGCGACTAATTCATCTATTAGTTCTATCCAGGATTTATCTAAAGGATAAAAAAGCCCCTAGGGGTTTGCTGGTATTGGTTAGTGTTGTGTATCAGTGGAGCTAACCTGAAACATAACTACTCACAGAGTTCCAGGGTGTAAGATTCACTGCTAACAACTTGGTTTCACAGTCAAGCTGTGGTATTAAGAGGACTAGGAGTGAAATCAAGGCTTGTGCACGTTCCTGTCTGAGTTCGGCCAAGGCAGAGTGGTGGACACTGGGCTAACCTCTTGCCTTAAGCCACCAACCATGAGAACACCTGTCCAAGGCCACAGGGAGCAGACAGCAGTAAGTGCGAGACCACATCCTGCAGGTCAGCCCCGAAGCCACCCAGCCTGTCCCCGGAGGCCGTCTCTGATCACATCCCAGACAGCTGCTGAGAAACAGGGACAGGGAGCAGAGCCTGAGGCTGCTGTGGTGGCCAGGAGGGACGTAGGCGGCACTGTCCAGGTTGTGTGGGCTTCTCTGAGCCTGTGTGGAGAGGGAGGACACCCATGCACAGACAGCGGTCATCAGCACTTAGACAACAGCGTCCGCGGGGCTGAGAACAGAGCCGGGTGCACTAGCGGCCCCCGGTGCCAGGCGAGATTGGCTCACACCTCATAACCCCTGACGTGTACCCATGGAAGGCTGTGCCTTAGGGGACAGAGGCATCCTAAGGGAGCAAAAGCCAAGAGCCCAGCAGATCTGTGAGACAGATACGACATGAACAGGGACTCTGCCAAATGAGAAGGGCCCGGGAAACCCTTCCACAGGCGACCAGATCAGACACAGTGCATAGCAGCTTCCTCCAATCCTTACGAGCAAGGCACAAACGAAGCCTGGACATGTTCACCGGAGCCTGCTGGTGTGAGCTGCCTGCTGAACCAGGAATCCACATTCTCCAGAGGAAGACAAGAAACCTAGGGGCCTTAAAATGTATTATCCATGAATCCAGTACTCAGACACTCATTATTCATACAAAACAACATGAAAAGGTGACCCAACAGTCATACAAAAAGTGTAGTCAATAGAAACTGAACCCAAGATGGCTCAGATGCTGAACTTAGCAAAGACTTGAAAAAAACAACTATTATAAATATTTAAAAGAGGCAAAGGAGGGGCTGGGGATTTAGCTCAGCAGCATAAGCGCCTGCCTTACAAGCAGGCAGTCGTGAGTTCGATCCCTGGTACCAATAAAAACGAAAAAGAAAAAAAAAAAAAAAACATGGAAAAAAAAAAAGAGGCAAAGGAAAATATGTTGACAGAATTAAAGGAAAATAAAATTTTTTGGGTACCAGGAATCAAACTCATGACCTCGTGCTTGCCAGACAGGCACTGTGCCACTGAGCTATACCCCTGGGCCAGGAAATAAATTCTTAAGAAGAGGCTCAGGTCCAGGCGTGGTAATGTACACTTGTAATCCCAGCACTCCGGAGGCTGAGGTGGGAAGATTGCTGGGAGGCTGAGGCCAGCCCTGAGCTACAGAGTGAGTTTAAGGCCATCCAAAACTACTTGGGGAAATTCTGTTTCAAAAAGAAAAAACAAATAAACAAACAAAAAACACCAAATACAAATTTGAGAACTGAAACATATCGAGTTGCAAAAGTCACTCGGTGAGTTTACGGTAGATTGACAGTGAACTTTAAGTCAGATCAACAGAAATGCTGCAGTCTAAAACAGAGAGAAAAAACTGGTAGATAAACAGCCTTTGGACTGTGGGACAAAATCAAATGGTTTAACACACATGTAATTAGACTAAGAATGAGGAAAAAATTTGGGGGGGAGATAACAGTTAAACATGAAAACAAGGATTTTAAAAATCCCAAACTTTTGGTGAAAAACACCTATATCCCACCTGAGAAACTCAACAAATCTCAAATAGGATAAATATAAGAAGAACCACAACCTGATGTATTGGAGTTCCACTGCTGAAAATCAGACATGGAGAAAAGGCCGGGGCAGAGCCCAGCAGCACACGTGCCTGCCTGGCAGGCTCAAGGTCCTCAGTTCTATCTCTGGCACCAAAACAAAACGAAACAAAACCACAAAGAGAAATTCTCAAAAGTGATCAGTGGAGGAGAAAAGGTGCGGTGTGCACAGAGGAGCAGGAATAAGAATGGGATTGAACCGACACCTTTCAAACCCCGACACAAACTTAATCAGTGGCAAAGCTACTTGATGTCATCATTACAGGCTGCAGGTGTGTCCCGAACTAGGTCACGGTGCTCCACAATCAACGTACAATGGGAACAATACTGGCAAACAATTGTAAATGAAATCTCATCTCAGGCATCACTTATGTCCTTTAGACAGGTCTCCCCTACAGAGTAACACTCGCCATGTGCTGCTGTGCACCAGCCTCGGATGAGACGAAACCCGTAACACCCAGGTCTGTAAAACACCACTCAGATGGCTGAGGATCGTTGTTGCACACATATGTAGGAGGTCTATCAGTGACCAAAAAGCACAGGGATCGTGGCTGTGCAGTGCCATCCTGATCTTGAACTAGAAGCCACTGGTGTTCAGTTCAGGCATCAGCCAAAGATAAACCTGTCATCTTCTAACAGGATGGTGACAGCGTGTCAGCCGAGGATTCAGCCAAAAAAAGTCAGTAAAATCCCACTCAACAATTAAGAGCAGCTCTTAAGAACATAGCTACATTATTTGAAAGGCTAAATTTCCCTCAGTTTCAGATATATTTGTAAGGAAAACACATTATTCATACCATTGCTTCCAAATAGTTAAGAATTGACTTTATAACTTAATAGTTTTAAACAGCTTCCTTTTCTTAAAATTATTCAAGAGTAGGGTTTAAAAAGAGATCTCTTATTCAGGTTGCCATGTGAGCACATCTCTTGTTGCCTCACTGGGGGGGGCCTCCTCTCAAATGTACCTGGTTTCCACATGAACAGTTTTGTATTGTCTAATGACATTCACATGGCAAAGTGCCTGTAACACTGCTGGCCAGTGGTAATTCTGAAGAAAATCTTTGTCTCATCTAAGCAGTAACATCGAAATTACCTGGGGAGCTTTTGTAACCTATAGATTCCTAGATCCCATTGCAATGTTAAACAGTCTGGAGATCTGGAGTCCAGAATCTGTTTTTGAAAGAATTCTCCTAGGTAACACAGCTGATTGGCCAGGTCTGATCTATAATAGATAGCACAGAGATCACCTGTGAGCCTAACTGTGTGTGTGTGTGTGTGTGTGTGTGTGTATACGCACAGTATTTTCTCTTTCTCTCTAGCTTCCTTCAAAAGAAAGCACTTATTCTTTTCTTTTCTTTTCTTTTTTATTTTTGCTACTGAAGATCTAACTTGTGACCTTGCGCTTGCCAGGCAGGCGTTTCTGCCGCTGAACGACATCTCCAGCCCCTCTTTTTATTTATTTATTTATTATTAAGTCAAGGTCTCACTACGTGGCCCAGGCTGGCCTTAAACTCTTGGCAATCCTCCTGCCTCAGCCTTCTGAGTGCTGGCATCACAGGTGTGCACCGCCACACCCAGCTCAAAAGTACTTACTCTGATGAAAAAAATTCCTATAAATTTTTTTTTTTTTTTTGCTTCTTCTAATTTAAAGATTGGCAGGGCTGCCCTCGACACGGACACAAACCCTAAAGCAACGAAACGTGAGGTTACCTGGAACATCTCATTGATGCCCTCTCCAGTTTGGGCGGAGGTCTCAAAGTAGAGGAACCCTTTGCTCTCGGCCCAGAGCCGCCCTTCACTTTCATCGACACAGCGGTGCTTGGCGCAGTCGATCTGAAGGGGGGGGGGCAGAGAGAAAGTCCGCCTGCTTCGTTAGGACATGCCCAGTGGACGCCTTACCAGCTTTACCAAAGCAAAAAATATCTTTCTTTTTGGCACTGCTGGGGATGGAACCTAGGCTTTCACACACGCTAGACAAGTGTTTTACCACTGAGCTATTATCCCAAGCCCAAACACTATTTTTTTAATTTTTATTTTTTTTATTGGTACCAGGGATCAAATTCGTGATCTCGCACTTCCAAAAACTATTTTTAGTGAGCCCCAGCACTAGTATACAGAATTACCAGGACCAAAAGAGACTGCACAGATAAAAAATTAAAAACTGAATGTAGATTGTTCTCTGTGTGATTTTCAAGCATGTTCCCGACTTCCTCCCTCAGGAAGGCATCTACTTCTCACTTTGCTGACAGCTGCTTGCTAGGGTAGGCTGCACCCCAGGGCCCACACGCTGCTCTGCCCATCCCAGGGCGCCCTCCTCCGTGGGGCCAGGGCATGAGGTCAGGCCAGCCGCTGCCCACTCACCGTGCACCCTCCCAGCAGGGTACCGGGAAGGAACCGGGTACAGACCCTCCATACCAGGTTTGGGGCTTTGCTGCGTTTTGTTTATGTCTAAGGGACAAATGTTTTGAGAGTGTGGGTCCTAAGCTAAGCAGTGAGGGGTTTTCTTTGCTTTTGTGTCGGTTCCCCTGCTGCTCTCCAGGTGGCTCCAGTCCCCGAGCAGATACCTTGTTGGCGCACACCACGAAAACGACGCTGTCCATGTTCCCGTGAGGCCCAAGCTCCTGCTTCATTTCTGCCAGCCACCCATCCAGGGCATCAAAGGACTCCTTCTGCCCGACGTCGTAGACCAGGATCACGCCCTGCGTGTCCTTGTAAAACTCGTTGCGAACCTGCAGGGGAAGACACGCAGTGGCCTTTGGGAACTGGTAAGGATGCGCCTCACCGTCTCCACTTAGCAAAGTGCGTTCTCTCGTGAATTCATAGCACTGGATGTGTCTCAGGATTTTACTGGTTTTCAGAAGACTTTTTATGACACCAAGGTAGCATGAGAAAAATACCTGTTTCTACAGAAAGACTTAAATCTATTTCTAAAGAAGGCCCCCACCCCACCCCTCTGCACTCTCGTTCCAGTCCCCAGAGGCGGTCACTTTTGCGTGTTAAGAGGCCTTCCAAGAACACCCATTGTGGAAGGTTCTTCAGGAGGCGAGCAATTTAAAAGAACTCACAGCAACAAAGATGCAAGCATTAGGATGGGGACAGCCTCTCCGACGTCACCGCCCAGAGCCAGCTTCTCCAGGGTTCCTGACTCCTGGGTTCTGGGCACCAACTGAGAACTCCACGCTCAGGGTCTCCCTGTCACAGTGGGGGCACAGCCTCTGGAGGCACAAGGCCCACACTTACTAGTTGTGTGATCTTGGGCAAGTCATTTAACCTCTCTGCATCTCAGTTTCCTCATCTAAAAGTGGGGATAATACTACTTACTTCACAGGGTTAGTGTGAGGCTGAAGTGAGATAATGAAGACAAAGCCCTGAGCACACAGTGCCAGGAAGACTTTCTTCCTGCATTCATTCTCTGCCTGGCCTTTGTGTTGCACCAGAAATGGCAGCTGGCTGCTGGGACACAGTTGCAAACCCAGGAGGAGGTGGCATCAAGGACGGGGCAGAAGTGCACACTGAGGTGACTTCTTGTCACGCTCACAGCTGGTGACACATCTAGTTGTTGTCACCTAGACTGCAGACAACACAAGGCCGTGTCTCAGGGCATCCGTCCTTGGGTCACCCACAAGGCCTGGTGGGACAATGTTTGAGACTCTGCAGAGCTAATGGCTGTGTGGGCCTCAGCAGGGAACAACGTAGGGCCAAAGCGGGGGAAATCTGAAACACAGGTCATGTTCTCCACTGACAGGCCTGTATACAGGATAAACTAATGCAAGTTCAGGAGGTTTCTTTCAAGGCTGCAACTTCAAGTCTGGGCTCAGCAAAGAAGAACCTACATAGCCTGGAGAAACCCCAACCTCGGTTTCCTTATCTATAAAATAAAAGGACAAAGTAGATATTTCCCTGCAGTTTCATTATTCTAGTTTCCCAGAAACACTTCTGCTTTTAGTCCTGGCAGGCTCAATGCATTCAAGATTTAAGAAGACAGGATGCTCAAAGAATGGGGATTCTTTCTTTCTTTTTTTTCTTTTGGTACTGGGGATTGAACTCACAACCTTGCGTTTGCCAAGCAGACACTTAGCCACTGAGTGAAACCCCCAGCCCTATTTCTTAAAGCAATGTGGAAAGGTATTACAGGTAAGAAAACTGTAATGTTAACGTCACTGGGGCCTTGGAAAGCTCCTGTGAGACTCTAACTCAGACCTCAATAAAGCAAGGCGAGGGTCCGAGACACCCCCCACTACCCCCCGAGGTTCTCCTACTAACTGCCTGGAGGCTGCCATCTCACACACTAGGCAGACTGTCTTGTCCTGTGGACCCTGCAGAAACCTGTTGAGGGAACCAGTGACAATGGACACTTCAGTGGTGGACAGGTGCGAGAGTCCGTGGAAGCAGAGATCGTGGGAATGGCTGCCCTGTGCTGCGCAAGATAATACTTTGGTCACTTGGGCACACAGAAACATGATAATGGCTTTAGTTTTGCCAACAAGGAGGGCTCAAAGGGTGCACACTTGTAATCCCAGCACTCGGGAGGCTGAGCAGGGGATCACAAGTTTAACATCAGCCTAGGCTATACGGTGGGGCTCTGCCTCAAAAAACAAACAAATAAATGAAAGGCAAGTTCAAGACACAAACAGCAACTTTCAGACTACAGAGTCAGCATGGCTATTACAGTGAAAAGATACTTCAGAGGTGATGATTTAAAGATGCTTCTATTCATCGCACTTCTGTTTTTATAAGTTGCTGGGAAAAACCAGCTGTTACAGCTTGTGGCTAGATGTCCCCCAAAGCCTCACGCAGTCCTAGGTGGGGCTTTTTCAGAGGTGGCTGGATCTGGAGTGGGCGAAGCTGGAACTGACTCATGGTGCAATGCAGGCTCAAGGACACAGGGATTGAGGGTATGAGTGCTACCCGCCCTGAGGAGTCTGGATAAGATAAAAAGAGCAGAAAGACTTGTTAAGGTCCCTTGTTGCTTCGCTACAGCCTGCCCATCATGAACTGTTCTCTGCCATGTGCCACCTTGCACTGAAACCAAACCTCTATAAACTGTGGCTGAAACCTCTATAAACTGTGAGCGAAATAAACCTTTCCTCCCTTCACTTTGGGCATTGGGTATTTTGTCTTAGCAACGAGAGAAAACTAACTAAGACACCTTCCCACTGCCATCTTAAGCTGCGATAAGGGCCTCGGGTCTAATGACAGAAAGTAATAGGAACCCTTGGAGCATTTCAACTAGTTAGACAAAACCTGGATGCAGTGTTACTTCTCAGCTCCACACCAGCAACAAGGGACCATCTACAAAGGATTCGGCTGAATGCTGGCGGATGCAGCCATGCTGGGAATATTGATGATTTCCCCAAAGAGAAGCAGACTCTAAACAGCAGAAAGGCACTGTTGTAGAAACACAGACCCAGTCCCTGCTTCTCCAAACCTTTGGGCAGAACCATGGTAAAAGTTACTGGGGTGCAGCGTTGCAAAGGGGAAGCTTTTAGCTCTGTGCAGAATGACCCCCAACCCTGTCACGAGAGGTATTAACTTTTCAAACTCTCACCATCCTTTCCACTCAGACTTGTGGAGCACAATTCTGTCCCTAAGGTCCCAATCTACAAAACTCATGTATCCATCAACTCTCAGCTTCAATCCTGTGTCCTTCAGCCAGACTTCTTGGCGTCTGGGATAGTTGGGTCAGGAGGGTAAGTGCTCCAGAGCATTTGGTCATTTGTTTAACATGTGTCTTCAATCCACGACAGTAAGGGACAGCGTATCTCTAGCATCCAGCACAGACCCTGGTGTGTAAGTATCTGAGATTGAGTGAAGACCACCGACTCGGAAGAATACTGTGAAAAGAAGGAAATCCTCCCATGGGCACTGTGAGTTCTCCAGCATCTTCTAACTCTCTCCATTCACAACGTCTTGGTGTAATCTAAGGTTCTGGTTTTCTCTTTTTGGTCAGTGCTGGTGGCCAAACCCAAGGCCTTGTACTGCCAGGCATCCACCCTACCACTGAGCTACGTCCCTAGTCCCATTATCTAAGAGTTACACTTGTGGGGGCTGGGGATTTAGCTCAGCGGCATAAGCACCTGCCTGCAAGCAGGCAGTCGTGAGTTTGATCCCTGGTACCGATAAAAAGTTTGAAAATAAAGAGTTACACTTGTGGTAGTTAGAATCTATGTTAAACCTGTGGTCAACTAGACCACCATGCTTTTTTCACTGCTTATATTCTATAGTTGTGAAACTTTTTAAGGCTTCACACTAAAAAGAGATTCATTTTATCTAAATACTTGGGCATATTCACAAGACGGAAGATTAGGTAGTTACTGAAAGCACCCTCCCCTGAAGATGGAATAGATATCGATTTCTCTATTATAAACAAAACCCTGGATATTATATATGAAATATATATGCAAGTAAAAGTAAAAATCCTAGACATTATACATAAAATATTTATTTATACCAGGTATACAGGTCAGGTACAGGTAAAAATCCTGTAGAACATGTATGTATAAACCTCTGAGCGGTAGAGAGGAGGCAGGAGACAGGCAGGGGCCCTGGGGCCTCAGGGGTGACCATGGAGATGCGCTCTGGGGTTCCTTTGCCTCACACATCCCAGACTTAAGAGCAGAAGCACAACTCAAAGCTGGCAAGAACTGCAGACAAATTAAAGCACCATCAAAAATCAGATCTCTCTAGCCAGATGGCCAAAAAAGAGGCAGTTTAGAAAGATTTTTTAAAAATTCAGAAAATAACTACTCTACTCCAGCCAAGTATGTTTTTTTTCTTTTCCTGCCTTTTTGAGACGAGGTCTCCCTATGCAGTTCAGGCTGGCCTTGAGCTCTCACTGTAGCCAGGCTGGTCTTGAACTTGCAACAATCCTCCTGCCTCGGCCTCCCGAGTGCTGGGATTACAGGCGTGTGACACCATGCTTGGCTCAGTAGCCAAGCAGCGTAGAGAAACCTGACTTCCAGCCCCTCCCTACTCCAGGAAGGACGGAGTGAGAACCATAGTGGGAGTAAGCAGCCGAGGGTGGACTCAGCAGCGGGAGGGGAGGAGTGGTGGGAAAATGAGTGGCCAGAGGGCGGACAACAGAAATTACCCAAGCTGACTGCAGCGAGGGAAAATTTACACAGTGAATGGAGCTACAGGCTACCTGGGCTAAAGCGAAAGATCAGACAGCAGGAAGAAAACGGAGCGTGGCGAGGAGCCCCGCAGATGCACAGCTGAGTGTGGCCGGCGGGCTCGCGTCCTGCAGGGAAAGCGGCACAGGACTCCACAGCGACAGGAAAGGACACGCCACGAGACCTTCCCGGGCAGGGGTGACACCGCTGAGTACGGGCCAAGTCTGATAGCAGGTGTCTTCTCAAATTTTGGGCAGAAGCGTTAAGGACGGGGCAAAAGTCCTTTGAAAGTTAAAATGTTTTATCTGGCTGAAACATCGGCAATTAAATTTCTTACCCTATTTAGAGGGACAGCGTAAAACAGACCAACAGGTGCCTATTAAGACCCCAGGCAAGCCCTGAATAGCAGCACAATGTACCTGATTTTACCGCCCAACCCCATTCACGTTACTGGATACAGGTTTTGCCAAAAAGCCTTTCTTACCTCGTAGAATCTTACCTCGTAGAAGAAGGGATGTCCAGCCATATCGAAGATGTTAACTTTGATTTCTCTGTCTCTGACTTGTACCCTGAAATGCAAACAGTCCCAAAGGTCATGGCTTCTGATTCACGTCAGCATCACTTACGAATCGTAACAAGATACACACGCGAAGTGCGAGAGGCTTTCTTTATGCCTCTTCCTGGCTCTAGATCATCCATTAGGACCCAGCAATGAGGCAGATGGTCCGGCTCCTTATTTAAGAGCACCTGGCCCGCCCATTTACCTTCCCTTTTTCCTCAAGCTAGGGCAGGCCAGCGCCTTGAGCCAATGCACAGTGGCTGTGACTGGGTACCGAGAGGAAGGAACACAAAAAGGTTCGCTGCCCCAGCAGACCCCAATTATTACTGGTTATGCTTGGTTCTTATGCGGGACAGTGACAGAGACACACTAATGCTGTTTGTTCAGTTTTCTTGTTATCTTTATTTGAACCACAGTCCGTTTGTTTTCAGAAACAAATTTGAAAATAAAGAACAAAAGAGGAATCACTCATAATAGAATTAACTACTGTTAGCACATTAATATAGCCTGTTAGTTTCCAGTTCGTCTGTCTTTGGGTGGTATCAAGGCTTGAACCCAGGAACTTCACCCTGAGATAGGTCCATCCCCCCACCACTTTTTTTAAGTTTTTTTTTGGACACAGAGTCTTGCTAAGTTGCTGCATTGCCCCGCTGGGCTCAAACTTGTGATTCTCCTGCCTCAGCCTCCAGAGTGCTGAATACGTAAAACTTATCCCAAACCTCATTACCCAGAATGGTCTTCATTAACACAGATGAACACCCACCACAGGCTTCTTTCTGTGCACAGAGAAGACAAACTTAAATATTCTTATAAAATGGGATTATACTTTTATAAAATAAACAGTATAAAATTTACTTTTTTGTTAGATTTAACAGAAGAAAAAGAAACTAAAGAGAATGGGCAGGAATTACTGGACTTTAAATACAAGTATTTCCTCAACAAATGACATATTATTTCTTAAAAGGTCCCTGGCTGGGCATGGTGGCATAGGTCCATAATCCCAGCTCTTGGGAGGCTGAGGGAGGAGAATCTACAGCCTGGGCCACCTCATGAATTCAAGGCCAGCCTGAACTACAAAGTGAGAGGTTGCCTCAAAAAACCAAAAGCCAAAACAAAACCCCAAAATGAACACTAAAAACAAACAAACAGAACCCAAAAAACCAACAAAAAAAAGTTCCTCTAAGGCTGTGAGGTTAAAAATAGAGATTATTAACAGTAAACGTACAAGTTAGAGTCATTGTCTGTTTAAGTCCCACGTTCCAGGCTCAGGCAGCACTGACGTGACTCTGGTCATGGAACACGGAGACTTGTGTGTGCTCCCATGGGCCTTGGACTCTTTCTGATTATTCCCATTCCCAGGCTTAGTGTTCACTTTCTGTTCTGAAGCCAGGATTCCTCTAGTTGTTCTCCAAACAATATTATGGCTAGGGAGCTCAGTAGTGAGTGCACCCCAATAATAGAGCTTGGGGGCAGCTGGCCAAGATCGAGGATAAATGTTCACAGCTATAAGCTTTTAGCTTAAAAAGACAGCAGCTCGGAAGCAATGGAATTACAATGCATACGAAGTCAGGAATAACACAAATGTCTTCACGCGATGAAACCTAAGAGTCAGCTTAATTCAGAAGCCAAGAGGAAGAAATTAGGAAACACGGTGATTCCTTCCCTCCAGGCAGGACACGCTGAGTGTGGTTCTGGTCTCCCTGTGTGCTGCTCAGAGTCCTCACACCCCCCAGGTGGGCAATCAGAATTCCAGCAGGTGAGCCCCGGGGATCCGTTCATTTGCAAAGGACACAAGGAATCCCTTTTACCCCGGTGAGCCCAGGCCATCCTCACACATGCTAGGCAAGTGCTCTGCCACTGGGTAATACCCCCAGCCCACAGCCACCCGCAAGCATGCTGACGTCTGAGCATCCCACAGACAACAGAGCTACCGTGTGATTGCCCAAAACTGTACCTGCTCCCTTTCTTAGTGCCACGCGTTTGCAGCACGTGATGACTGCAGTCTTCGCAGGGAGCTGCCAAGAGCACATAGTACACCTTAATTATTGTTTCTTTTTTCATCCCCTGCCTTTACCTTCCTTCCCTTCTCCTTCCAAACGTTTGTCTGTTTTCCATTTGCAAAAGCTCTATTTTCATAATTTTTCCATCCCCCTCCTGTCTCCTCCCTCTCCCCTGAATCTCTTGTTTGCCTGTCCACTTGAAAAACGGGATTTCTCGATTCCTCTTTGTCTTCTATTTCTCGCTCATATGAGAGAAACCATGCAATATTTAAACGTGTGTCTGACTTATTTTGCTCAACACTGTGGTCTCAAGTTGCATGCATTTGCCTACGAATGCCTCGAGTGTATCTTTATGGCAGAGTAGTATTTCATGATATACAAATACCACCTTTGCTCCATTCATCTGTTAATGGGCATATAGGCCACTTGTAAAATTTAGCTATTATGAATCGTGCTATTATAAACATGAGTACACACAGGTAATATGATGCCCCAAACTCTTTTGGGAAGACACCTAGAAAGAGAGTAGCTTGGGGTTGGGGATATAGTTCAGGGGCACAAGTGCCTGCCTGGCAAGTGCAAGGTCCTGAGTTTGATAACCAGAACCAAAAAAAAGAGAGAGAGAAAGACAGGAAGGGAGAGAGGGAGGGATAGAAGGAAGCTTGGTCAAATAGAATTCCTAGTTTTAGTTTTTTGAGGAATTTCTATACTGATTTCCATAGTGGTTCAATCCCACCAATGCAGAAAGATTTCTTTTTTCCCTGCGGCCTCACCAGCATTTGTTATTTTGATTTTTTAAAATTATTATTTGATTTCTTGATGAGAACCACTCCTTCTGGAGTAAGATGGAATCGCAGTGTTGTTTTTGTTTTTTTTTTTTGAGATAGGGTCTCTGAATGCAGTTCAGGCTGGCCTTGAGCTCACTTTGTAGCCCAGGATGGTCTCCTCCTGCCTCAGCCTCCCAAGTGCTGGGATTACAGGTGTGAGCTACCACGCCCGGCCTTTTTTGATTTTTTGGTACCGGGGATTGAACTCATGACTGCGCACTTGCAAGGCGAGTACTTAGACCATTGAGCTAAATCCCCAGCTCCCTCAGTGTTGTTGTGATGTGCATTTCTCTAATGGCCAGTGGTGCTGAACATTTTTCATGTATTTATTGGCAATTGTACTTCTGAGAAGTTTCTATTCATTTTGGTTGCCCATTTTTCCGACTAGCTCTTCTATTTTGGTGTCTAATCTTCCTGAGTTCCTTGTGTGTTCTAGATGTTAGTCCTCTGACCAAAGAACGGCTGGCAGAACCTTTCCCATCTGTAGGCCGTCTCTTTACGCTGTTGGTTGTTTCCTCTGTACCCTGCTTTCCTCTCCCAGCTGTGGTGCCACCTCACTGATCCCACTCTGCAGTGCCAGCTACCTGTGCTGGGGGAGACCAGCTGTCCTCATCCAGGCCAGTCAAATCACCTGGGTTGTTTTGTTTCTTTCTTTTGTATTTTACTGTACTGGGAATTTGTAAACTTGGGGTATTAATTTTAGTCCCCTTCCAGGGTTTAAAACTCAGCCTGAGGGGCCAGGGATGTAGCTCAGCAGCACAGTGCCTGCCTGGCAAGTATAAGGTCCTGAGTTCGATTCACAGGGCAAAAAAATTAAATTAAATTGAGCCTGAGAGCTGCCGGCATCTGTGTAGAGGAAGCCCACTCAACAAATGAAGCCAACAGAAGCTGCAGTAAAGTGACCTGTTTTCCTGGTCTGATTGGCCGTCTGTGTCTGTACAGAATAGCCATTATGAGGCCTGTGTCATCATTACTGGATTATGTGAGCTGATTAATATCCTTTTTAAATTTTAACTCTTTTGCTTAAATTAGTTTATGTTGTGTTCTTCTTGGTTATATCCTCTTGACTCATTAGGGGACAAGCAAACACCTTTTCAAAAACAAAAACAAACCTTCAGCGAGAAACAGAATCATCTGTTAAATGACAGTCCTATGATGCAGTGTGAAAATTTTCATTTCTAAGATAAATAAAGTGCTTATATTGATTCAAAACACAGCTGTCTTAAAGGGCATCCTACCGGTTCACTGGTGAAATGCTGCGCTTTGAAGTAGAGAAGGGAAAGAAAAACTAGAAAGAAACATGGATTTCAAATGCAGAGCTTCGTGCCGTTCACAGTCAGAGCCACTGTTCTCACTCCTCAGGGAGGACTTGCAGAAACACCCCTGTGACTGCCAGCTGAAAACGGTGACCTGAAAACTTCTTCCCTTTCCTTTTAGCTCCTGCTTGAGCTGCTGTGGCCACGCAGAGGGCACGGCCGGCCCGCGTGGCTGAGCTCCGCTGGGGCCCTCCGCCCTCCTCTACCTTCTTCACTTGGCCTTCTTACTCCAACCTGGCAAATCTCCCCTTTACACGCCTCTGTCTTTCTCTAGCAATGAGTAGCACTGAGCGCCTAGTACTAACAGCCTCTTTTGGGGGGCATTTAGTTTTTAGCAGCAGGCATTAAACATACACAGATGACAACAAAGAGCCTGTGGCAAGTACCATAAACAATATAGAGATGCGTGTGAGGCTCAGTGCAGACAGGGCGAGGCGGGCAGGGGCTGTGATACAACAGAGGTCCAGCAGGCAGGCCGCCCACCCCGAGGCTACCCTTGGCAGCGGGGTGTATTAATGGTTTAATCCGCCCTCCCAGAGCTCAGCCCCTCTTGATTCACCTCCAGATGCCCACTTATTCTCAAACTTTACTTCCCCAGACGATTTCTGCTGGATTCCAATAAGGCTATAAAGATCACAAACCAGAGGCTGGGGATTTAGCTCAGTGGCATAAGTGCCTGCCTTGCAAGCAGGCAGTCCTGAGTTCGATAAAAACGAAAAAGACAAAAAAAAAAAAAAAAAAAAAATTACAAACCAGTAAGGGAAGCACTCTGATGGAAAACTTTCCACGCAGTACTTAGAGCTGTTAGAATCTGTGCAAACAACATAAAAACACACCTGCTCATCCCTAGGGCCTGCTTATCCAGAATGTGTTTCCCAAAAGGCTGCCTCTGTCAGCCTGGCTGGGCACCTGCTGGGTCCTCGCCTCACGCAGCCTGGGGGGGAGCAGCTCAGCCCCCCAGAGGGTGACGGGCCGGTCACCACACACTGTGACGCCCTCCTCGCCTGTCGTTCTCAACTTGTCTTCCAAGTTTCTATTTCAAGACAACCTGCACAAGTGCACGGATACAGATCTAAATCATCTTAGGAGTTCGGAATTTCTGTCGAGTTTACAAGCTCAGGGAGCCAGCATACTCACTTTGTGACTCCGTAGTCGATTCCAATTGTTGCAAGGTATTTGGACACGAATCTTTTCTCACAGTAGCGCTTTATAATACAGCTCTAAAGAGATAAAGACACGGCACTTAGTGGATACACAGTGGGAAGGCAGATGAAAAGGCGTATTTGTTAACTGTGCTTTCCATGATCAACACTATGAAAAAGTGTTTTCAAAAGCCAAAACTAAAAATTACTATAATAAAATAAAAGATTAAAAAAATTTACTTACAGCTTTTTCTTGATATTAACAATGTTCCCCGTTTCACTCTCAATCCTCATGTGCTTTGTTTTGGAGGATTTTTTCCTATTCTTATACTTCCAACACAGAAAAAAATCTATGTCTAGCTGTGACTTCTCCCCCCAAGAGCAGAGCCACAGCTCCCAACATCTAGCTCACTGGTTTCTAGTTAACGTCTGCTGCTACCCCAAATTCACCAGGTCCTGAAGTGAACCACACACGCGGGCAAACAGCTCGTCCTGCAGATATGCAAACTCTGCTAATGCCGCCGTCACCCCAGTCACAGGGCCAAAATGTTAGAGCCGTCTTTGACTCTGGGCCTTTCTCAACCTTCTTTTTAATGGGTCTCCCCCTCTCCTTGCAGCCCAGTGTCTAAGGGGAACACCTGGTTTAGCTCCGGCTCGCTTGCTCCCACATGAGCAGAGGAAACCCTTCCCTGCTTTCCCTGCTCCCCACCCTGGCCCGGTTCGGAACGAGCTTTCTCTGTTTTCCAGATCTCACCAAGTCCTTTCAGGCCCAGGTCGAACTCTGGGCATCCAGGTGCACATGACCGTACCTGCAGTTGGGCTCTCTGTGTATGTGTACCACTTGTCTGAGCCCCTCGAGCTCTTACACGTGTGTGTATGTTACACACACACACACACACACACACACACACACCCCACAGGATTTGCCATCAGTCACACAGCCTTTCATTGTCAGTTATTTTCCATATGTGTATATTTACCTTGTCTCCTCAGCTAGATAATAAGCTTCTATCTTGCAGCAACCAGCCCAGTGGTTTTCACATAGTAAGTTTAACAGTTGCTGAATCCATGTAAGAAAGCATCAATTGTGTTAGAAAAGTTTGGACTATTTCTGATTATGAATGGCAATGAAAGACCATTGCAAATGACAAGCATATTCAAAACAGTTCTTAGACTCATAAAACTTATAATTTACTTGAAATGCTGGTAATGGAATTTATTCTACTCAAATTCTCTCCTAGGCTTCCATCTAAATAGACAAGACAGTTAATTTTAAAAGTATTTAATACGCTCACTGTGAACTCAAGGGAAAACTCAGTTCCATCACCAGCCCTTTTTAAAGGTGTTTTGTTTCGAGACAGGGTCTCACGAAGTTGCCCAAGCTGGCTTCAAACTTTCGATCCTCCTGCCTCAACCTCCCATACTGCTGGGATTACAGATATGCCAGACTTCTTTAGAATGGTCATTGCTAAGGGGCCACTTTTTGGGTGTGTGGTGCTGGGGACTGAACCCAGGACCTCACGCATGCGAGGCCAAGTACTCTGTACTCTGCCACTGAACTATATCCCTACACAGTGGTTCAATCTGCAGTACCTCACACCAACACACACATACACACAGACACACACACACAGAGTCAAATCACTTACATTATCATTATCCCATATAGTCAAAAAGTGAAGACAGCCCAAATAGATAAAGTAGGTTTTATTCATGTGATGCAATGTTATTCTGCACTATGATGGCCACACTACATGCAAAAGAGTGCGGCCAATATTATGCCCTGTGAAAGAAGCCAGTCGCAAAGGCCCACATGGCATGATCTCATTGAAGGTCACGTCCAGAACAGGCAAATCCACAGAGACAGGATGTAGAGTGGTGGCCCTGACTAGGGGTTAAAGAGGTAACAGGAGAGACTGTTAGCTGCCAGGGTTTTTCAGGCTTAGGTGTTTGCTTTTTGTTTTTGTATTTTACCATGATAGACACTAGACCCTGCTGAGCCCCATCTGGAGCCCTTTTCATCTTGCTTTTCTTTGGAGACAGGACCTCACTAAATCACCCAGTCTGACCTCAAACTCCTGATCCTCCAGTTTCAGCCTCCCAGGCAGCTGGGATTCCAGGTGTGCCAGGTGAAATGCAGATCTTTTTAAGGCCTGCAGAGTAAACTGTACCAATGATTGTGGTCATGGGTGTATAAATCTGCGATGTACCAAATGATGGTGAATTGTGTACTTTCAGTGAACTATATGTGAACTATACCTCAAGAAAGCTTTTTTTTTTTTTAAATTTTTATGTTTTTAATCCTTTGGGAAGCAGAGGGGCGATCGCAGGGTCTTAACCCTCTCTCTACGGGGAAATGAGGTTTCTCTGTAGTCTTTGATCAGATCCACTCCACCCTGCTTGGCAGTCAACTCCCCCCATGCCCCAGGCCATTCCCCCTTGCTTTCTAGGACCTGAAGTTTCCTAATGCATTCATTTACCAATGACTTCAAGCTCCTTCTTCCATACCGTGTTAATGCGGAGATAATATACTCAGAAATAAAAATAAGCAAAAGTGGTCACAGCTTTACCCAACCTATTTAGTATATTTTTTGAAACAGTCCAAGTTTTGCCTGAATAGAAAGTCAAAATTTATTGCACAAGCTTGAGTTTTTGGTCTTCAAACCTTGGTTTCCTCAGGGCTTCTGAAAAGGAAATGTCCTGTTTTCCCAGAGAGTCAACTGGTCCCAGTGCTGCTGACTGTCACCCTGGGGCTGCTGCTATCAGCCCCAGCATAAAGTCAACAATGGTGCTGCTGCGGGGGAATCAAGGGTACAGCCTGGGCCCCACAGGGTACCTAAACTGTGTATCAAACACTCTGAAGTTTGCCTCTGGATGTGGAACTATAATAAATGTTTTCCACTGGGAGTGGTGGTGCACATAGGTAATTCCAGTACTTGGGAAGATGAGGCAGGAGGATTGCTCCAAGTCTGAGGCCAGCCTGGGCTACATAGTGAGACCCTACCTTAAAAGAAAAAAAAACAAGAAATAAATGTTTTCCTTAGGTTTCTCATTATACTCAAATGTTCCCATATCATACAGTATAATACTCTGAAGTTTCTCGCTGAAGAGTAGATTATAAGGATCTCTCCAAGCTAACTGACAGTTTTCACTTTTTCCATGACTATATAATAATCCATGGCATGCAAGTACTTAGTTCTTCTATTAAAGAGGATTCACTTTGTTTACAGTTTTTTTCCCTACTACGTTACAAGACATACCCTGTGTAAAGCCTTTCAAAATGGTACTTTAACTTCTAAGAAGGAGAGTCCAGCAGTAAAATTGCTGGACTGAACACATCACTCATTCATTCATTCATTCATTTTTGAGACCAGGTCTTGCTGACCTTGAACACTAACCTCGAACTCACAGCGATCCTCCTGCCTCAGCCTCCCCAGTGCCGGGATTACAGATATGCACCACCCCCTGGCATGTGTTTTATTTTAGTTGCTACTGTCAGTTGCTTTCCACGGGTCTATTCTAGCAGTAGGACACAGATAACCACCTTCCTCACAGTTTCAGCCACAGGTGTCATTATTTTAATGACTGCCAAACTGGTCGGCATGAAAGAATTTCCTTGTTACTTTAATTTGCATTTTACAGCTACAAATAAAGTCGTATATCCTTCTCACTTACCTATGGACACTTGGATTTGCTCTTCTTTGTGTTATTTGTCCCATATACTCCCAGTTAATTTTTCTGCTATTATATGCTCTCTTATCAACTTTTCACACAGAATTGTATACGGCATTCTCTAATCATGCCTTTCATCTAACACATGAGTACGTCACTTCAGTATTAGTCTTATAACTTTTAGGTAGTTCTGCTTTTTTTGTTTGTTTTTCTTAAATAGATGTTAGGTTCTTTTCATTTTCATAATCTTTCCAAAGAATGACATTTCTTTTCATTAATTTTGTGTTTTTCTAATGAAGTCCTAGTTTTTCTGCACATTGCAAGCTGATTCACATATAACATTTACGCTTCAAAGTATACACTACTGGCTTTTAGTATAATCACAGAGTTGTACAACCATTATATTCCTCCAATCATTATTTCTCTTCTTTAAAAATGAGTAATATGGTGAGGTTTCCATGGACCACAGCTTTCATTCTGTGCTGCAGGCTTCGCTTTGGGGTCTTTTTCCTTGTTTTCTAGTTATTCTCATTTGACCCACAGACTAAGTAAGGCATTTCTTTTGGGGGGAACACAGGGGTTTGCAATAGGGTCTTGCTATACAGTAGAGACTGGCTTTGAACTCACTTATGCAGCACAGGCTGGTCTCAAACTCATGGCAGTCCTCCTGCCTCAGCCTCCCAAGGGCTGGGATTCCAGGCATGCACCCCCATGCCTGGCTAGTAAGGCATTTCTTAATTTTTAACTTTACAACTGTTCATATCTTTCTCTTTAAAGTAGGTATGTGCTGCTTTTATACCTAAGGCAAATTAAATTTTTAAAAAATTCCACTTAAAGTGGGCATGGTAGTACATGCCTGGAATCCCAGCGTTTGGGGAGAGATTGAAGCAGGAGGATCGCAAGTTTGAATCCCACCTGGGAAATACAGCATCTTAGGGAGACCATGTCTCAAAATAAAAAGTAAGGAAAGTGGGGCAGGAAGCTGGGCTCAATTCCCAGTACCACAAAATACTACTCCTAATAATAAATCTCTTACCTATCTAGAATTTATTTTTGAGAAAGAAATGCAATAGGAATCCACCCTGCCCCAAATAAGAGAGCTATTCCAGCAGCACTCATTAAATGGTCTCTGTTTTCTCATGATTTTACTACGTTTGTTGGACTCTGAATTTCCTTATTGTCCCAATGTATTTCCAGACTATATTCTGTTTCCTTACATATTTTCTTCCCAGAACCAACAAGAAAAGTCTGGTAATTTTATTTTTAAATACCTGGTACAGTTAGTCTCATTTCTCTTTTTACAATTTTCTTGGTTATTCTCATCTTTAACATTTCATAGGGACATTTTTTGGGGGTAGGGGAGGGTTTGAGACAAGAACTCACTGTTGCATTCAGGCTGTTTTTGAACTTATTATGTAGCTGCTTGGAACTCCTGTGATCCTCCTGCCTTGGCCTTCTGAGTGCTGGGATTAAAGGCATGTGCCCATATCCAGATTTTTATAAGGACTTCAGTGGGTTTTTTCTTATGTTTGTTTTTATGTTTTGAAAAAGAAATCTTACTGATTTTTAACTGGAAGTGAATAGCCTTTGTAGATTATTTTAAATAACTGATCTGTGTAATATTGAGTGCTCTTTTGTGGTACTGGGGATCAAACTCACAACCTCACACTTGCCAGGCAGGAACCTCTGCCATTGAGCTAAATCCCCAGCCCCATATTGAGTGCTCTTATTCAGGGGGAAAGTTAATCTTTCCGTTTGCCTAAGTATTGTAATTGTAGTCCCTTTTGGAGTTTGAATTTTTCTTCAAATGGTTCTTATTTTTTCTTAAATTTAAATTAAGGCACTTTATTTTGGTTGTTATTGTAACTGCTTTTTTTTTTTCTCTTCTCAAATTGCATTGGCTAATAAACTCAGAACAAAGTTAAATAAATGTATGACTCATCTGAGATGTTTCTGTTCTTGTACCGTTAGGTACAAGTAAATTACAAAAGTGTTACATGATCACTTAGCCAGGTTAGAACATAATCTAAAGCCTACTTTTTTCCTCTTTAATACCTAACACTTAATTGTCATTCAATAAGTATAGATATTCGGTGAATATCTGTTAATATCTTCCATACAGAGACGCACACATAGTGCAAAATCATGCTAAATAGAAAAAAAAAATACTAATCAACATTTCCTAAGATGTCCTGTGCAGGACACTGGCCTAAAAACTCGCATTAACAGCTCTCCAATTCAGACCTGAGTCAGGGTTAATTCTCACAACATTCAGTCACGCAATGAGCACCACAGCAGGAGACCGATGGTTCTGGCTCCAGCCCTGTCACTGATTTGAGGACCTTGGGCAGCTTTTGGCTAACACCTTCCACTTGCTCAGGAGAGACAATCTGAGCAAGAGGAGGCAGCCTTGGAATTCACTGGCCCCTCGGACCTCTCTTCCCATGTCAAGGTAGAGTCTAGAGCTGACACCCCCACGGAAGGCGCAGAGAGAGGGGTGGCAGAACTGAGCCTGCTTTGAGAGAACGGATGTGGTGACACTTTATGGATCTTTAATGAATGAATGACTAAATAACACAAGAGCAGGCTCCGGGTCACCCTGCCACCTCCCCTGCAAAGCACGTCGACTGCATTTATGCATTCACGAAGGAATGGACGTTCCGGGCTGCCCAGCAGCGCGTTCCTAACCCTCACGTGCAACCCATTCAAGCTGCAGGGGCTGCCAAGCCCAACTTTTATTCCCCTATGCAGGTCCAGGACGGGTCATCCAGCACCACCAACACAGATCTGGCGTCTGAGCCGACCGTCCGAACTAAGCACTTAGGCCTCCTTATTCTCTTTGGGGACATTCAAGGTTAGAGGTCACACTACGCACACTTTAGGGCACTGGACGTCAGTGGAGGAGGGGCGTAACCCAAAGGTCAAAGAGGTCAGGCTGGTGCAGCTCCCCGGGCTGCAGCACCTCGGCGAGCGCCTGCCAGTTCGGGGGCGGGGAAGAGGCCGGGCCCCCGCTCTTGAGTGGCTGCTCTCTCAGCCAATGGGTTCGCCGGCCCGCCGCGCGGAGGTCCCGCCCCTCCCGGCGCGCTCCACTCACTTTGCCCACTTCGGCGTTGCCCATGGAGATGACTTTGATGCGGAGAGACTTGCTGGGCTCCTTCCGCTTCGGCATGTTGGCCTCCATGGCCCTCACTCTCGAGGGGCCACCCGCTTCGGTGTCTCCTCGTGCGTCAAGGCGGCCTGTCCCTCAGGCCTTCTCACCCAATGGCGGAGCCCCTGCTCTCGTCACCGCCCGGGCTGCGAGGCTCGCCATCCCCGGCGCTCGCTAGCAGCGGACGCGGGCGGTTGGGAGGCAGGGGCCGCGGCCGGAAAAGGCAGTCTCGCGATGCTGGCGCGAGCGGTGACGTCATGCGGCCCCCAGTCTGGGGTTAGCGTTCGCCCGGTGTGGCTGGCGCATGCAGCGACGCCTCGTGGGCTCACGGTCTCATTTGCAGCGTTCTGGGGCAGGAGGCACTTGTGGCATTTGCACCTTGTGGTAGAAATGTATGGGTTTTCCAGGGCGGATCCTCCGTTTGGGAGTGTTTAGGTCATTAAGGTCCCGGCTGCCAAAAATCCCAAGTAGACCACGGCTCCTTTCTGTTTTGGTTTGTTTTTTTTGAGATAAGGTCTCTGTATAGTCCCGGCTGGACCTGAACGCACTGTGTAGCCCATGCTGGCCTCAAATTTGCGATCCTGCCTCAGCCTCACAACTGCTGGGTTTACATGCTTGTGCCTCGACTCCTGGCCCCTCGCATTTTGGGGTGGCCATTTTTTCTTTTTATCCTTTGGTTTCACGGGCCCCTCTGCTGGCCTCCTCTCTCTTGTACAGTTCTTCAGGACATCCAGGTCCCATACATCAGATGCCACAGTATTTGCACATAACCCCCACGACTCACGTGTACTTTGTGAAAAAAATTTTTTTTGTGTGTGTGTGTCTTTTTCGTTTTTATTGGTACCAGGGATCGAACTCACAACTGCCTGCTTGCAAGGCAGGCGCTTACACCACTGAGCTAAATCCCCAGCTCACATGTACTTTGGAGCACCTCTAGATTACTTATACCTAATAAATGCAAAGAAAATCGTTGCCCTACTGTGGCACGAAAGGAAAAGTAAGATCAGTAGAAAGGAGACAAGGAAAATTACAATTTTTAAGTTGCACTTTTAATAAATACTGCAGGGTCAGGACATAGACTAGGTAAAACTTACTGAGGTTTTGAAAGTCGGGAAGCCTGAGCCTTCCCTTTTAAATGGCCTTTTCCACCTGTGAATAGACATCTGTTCCCGATCAATAGATGGCAGATCTGTCGCCTGCCGTGGGCCGTCACCTGTGCATGTGCTGGCGCTGTTCTGATTGAATCCCATCTTCATAGAATTACAAGTTGTACAGATTTTCACTCTCAGCGCCCTCTGCCCCTGCATATACTCCCAGTTCAAGACCATCTACAAATGTCTCTTTCCCTTTTACGTTTCTGTTTTGGTTTTTTTTTTTGTTGTTGTTGTTGTTGTTGTTTTGTTTTGTTTTTTTGCCTAATACATCTCCTGTGCCTCTAACTGAAAATTCATTTTCTGTGATGGATGACAGCAAACCTGCAGCTGTCCCTTGGGTGGGGTGAGTCGGTTCCCCAACTCCGATTCCAGGACTTGCTCACACCCTGTCTGGTGCCTCAAGGAAGGACAAGAAAAACAAAAGAAACAAAAGTCTGTAGATGTTCAGTAGAGTCCCAGGATTTTTTGATGGATGTTGGTTCAATCAGCAGAGCCCCCAGGTATTTAGGCTCAGCTGTATTTTGTTTCCCTTGCTCAAGCTTTTCTGAGAGGCAGAGTCCCCCACTGGGTAAATGAGGACCTCTCAGGCCTTGTTTTGGAAGAGGGCTTCAAAAAAATTGTTGCTTTGGGGATTAAACACTGGTACAGGACTTGCCTAAGGTGTCCTAGGCCTCGTTCAATCCCCAGCAACCCCCCCCCCATCTGCCCCAAATTGCCCATTTGGAGCCAAGGCAGAAGTTTTAGTTTAGGGTTTGTCTGTTGTGTAGCAAGTGCTTTGGGGTTAGTTGACTGGCTTGGAGGTGGGAAGCTTTTCCTGTTTCTTTTATTCCCATCCAGCTCCGTCATGATGTACAGCTGTAAGCTCTTCAATGTTCCCCTGCCTGCTGCTCAGGTCAAACTTAACCCTGCTCATGAGGTGCAGGAATAACGAATCCTAAGATAACCATTTTTGTCCGTCTGACAAGGAACAGGTTTTTGTTTTCGTTTTTGTTTTTGAGTCAGTATCTTCAGTTACAAGAAATAAATAAAACTTAATAAATGGCTTTTTAGTGCCATAAGAAAGGATGCTACCAATTTCCCAGCAAATTTCAGAGGCAAAGGTGGCATCATTTCTGTTCTCAATAGATTTAAGTATTTTAAATATATTGCAGGAGCTGGGTATGCAGGTGCACGCCTGTAATCCCAACAGCTGGGACACTGAGGCAGGAGGATCTCTGAGTTTGAGGGCAGCCTACGCCTCATAGTAAGTTCAAGCCAGCCTAAATTACTTAGAGAGATGCTGTCTCAAAAAAACAAACAAAGCCATCACAGGAAGAAATGCATAACGGTTCAAAATGTCATAGTAGTTATTTTAAATTAGATTTCAAACTTGAAATTTTTTAAGAAAAAAGCTTATTCTGGATTGTTTTCATAATCAGTAAGTAATATGATACAATGAAACATTTAAAATTTTCAAAATTAGAAAATATAAATCCTAGTTAGAATTTTGATAAACACTTAAAAGAATGATTCTTCATAAATCCAAGATGCTGATCTCACGATCTGACTTAATAAATCACTAAACATCTCATTTCTTTGGTAGTTTACTTCTGATCTTGTAGGAACACTGGTGTCGTGGAAGAGTAAATGTCAATTTTTCAGTTGTTAGAGATGGACTCAGGCATACTGAGAATATAAACTTGAGTGCGGTGACCTCTGCCTATAGGTCCAGTGACCTGTGACGTTGAGACAGAGGATTGCTGAAGTCCAGGGGTCTGAGACCAGCTGGGCAACAGCAGTAAAATACACCAAAGAACAAAATTTATTACCATTTTTTCTTATCGATTTTTTGGCATTTTAATATATATCGCCACATGTTGCAGTGATTGTATTCAGTTAGATTAGAATAAAAAGCAAGAAAATTGGCCTTTTCCGCTCCTTGAATAACAAGAAGACAGAATTGGATGCATCACCCCTACAGTGGATGCATGAGGTCCGGAGCCAGCCCTGTTGGGCTTTATGTCAGGGTCACACAGAGGTGGTGAGGGCCACGGGAGATAAGCACGTGAAGTCCAGTCCTAACTCGGTACCCCCAGGAGACTGGATCCAGACCCACTATGGGTAACCCAAATCTGAGGGTACTCGGGACTCATGTAATATGGCAAAATATTTGCATGTAACTGCCCATATATTTTAAATCACCTCTAAATTACTTAAAATAACTACTATGATATAAATATTATTTAAATGATTATTATACCATATTGTGTAGGGAATATTGAAAAGAAAAAATCTAGATGTGTTCAGTAGAGACAGTTTTTCCCCCCCAAATATTTCTGATCTGTTGAATCCATAGATGTGGAACCCCCTTGTGCATGGCAGTTCCCAACAAACAGAGGTTTTATACATGGAGAAAGATTCCACATATTTTGAAAAGTGAAGTATGAAATATTTTGGCCATACCCAAAGAATAACACAAAGATACCCATGTATCAAGCACCCAGCTAGGGAAATAAAATGCCGCGATCCTGTGCGCCCTTCCCCGATACGTTCCTGCTCTCTATGAAACGTCACAGCTCTGAGGGCATTGCGTCCAATTTCTAGGCATTTGAAATTATTGAAATGTATTTGTTTATATACCTTTAAGTATTGCATTTAATCTTTCAAAACTCTTTATTTTGAAATAATTTTGCACGGAAAGGTTACCAGTTAAGCGCTAAAGCCACTGAGCATGGAAATCTTAACAACAGTACAGATGTATGCTCACTTACACACACTTCTTTTCTGAACCACTTGGGATTTATTTGCTGGCTTTTTTTTGAAAGAAGTTCTGTTAAATCTCTCTACATTGCTCAGGTTGGTCTCCATTTTGTGATCCTCCTGCCTCAACCTCGCGGAGTGCTGTGATTACAGGTGTGAGCAGCCACCCCAGCTCAGACATGCAATTTCTTTTTCTGTCTTTCTTCTTCTTTTTTTGGTTCTTTTTGGGACAGGGTCTCACAACGCAGTCCAGGCTGGCCTTGAACTCACTTTGTAGGCCAGGCTGGCCTGGAATTCTCAACGATCCTCCTGCCTCAGCCTCCCGGTGCTGGGATTCCAGCTGTCCCCCACCACACCCGGTTTTGTGTTTCTTAACCCATACACATTGCAACATGATTTCCTTAGAAACAAGTTTCCTCCTACATAGGAACAGTACACTTATCACAATCAGGAAATGCAAATTTTATACAAGACCATGATATAATCCATGGTTCTCTACGTGGCTCCGAGATGCCGCATATCCCTAGGATGAATTCACGGGGAGGAGTTATCTGTGGGATTATAAATTTTCAAAACAAAATGCAGACTGTGAAGCACTATAATTGTGAGCTTCACCAGTAGATGGCGCCACATTCCTCAGCTCTGTCCTGTCTTGGCGAGCAGAGCTGCGGTGTGCAACAGGAGGAACTGAGGGTGGCCGTATCCAATCCCAGATACCAGGTTAGAGAAGAGCAGTGCGCGACAGGTTCACACACCCCATTAGTAATTGCTAATTAAGAATAAAATTAAAATATTATTTTGCTCTCAATTTACGTTTTTTTGAGAATGATTGCTAAATAAAGTATACTTAATAAATTGTTTGAACCCAGATGTTTCTTCTGACCAAGAGACGATGTTTAAAAAAAAAAAAAGATTGATACATTAATGTCACCATGAAAAAAAATTGGAATACCGAACTAACCCGTAGTTCATACTCAAATTTCATGGTGTATCCAAATAATCTTCTTGTAGCTCTGTTTTGCTTGGTAAATTCATGTGTGGTCTGATCTAGGTAATTTCATTATCCCTTAGTGTTCTTTCTTAACTTTTCTTTCTTTCAAAATGACATTTATTTTTAGAGCATTCCTCTGTGTGTCTGATGCGTTTTTGTAATTAGATTCAGTTATGTTTGGGTGAAATATCACAGAAAAGCAGTCATATCCTTTTGATGGCATCTTATTATAAAGTCATTATGGCGTTTTACTGCATTTATTAATGATATTGATTTTAGTTGGTCAAGGTGGTGTCTTTTAGGGTAATCCACAGGAAGCAATTTCTCCCTTTTGTAATAAGCAATTTGTAATGAG